AAGCTTATTGTTATTATCAAACGATTTGGGCTATCAATCTTAATATGCATGCTGTCTTCTAGTTTCTCTGTAACCCAATTAGCATTAGTTTGGTCTTAGTGTTATCTAGTAGCCATTGGATAAAATTTTCTTGTTCCCTTCTCGTTTGTAAGGCTTCTGCATAATTCCTTGTAATCTACCATTGTGTCCTCAATTTCAGAAACAGTCTTTGCATTTGTCATATTTTGCTTTTATTTTGTTTTTTTCAGTTCATTTTAGATATACATAGTGATAACAGTCATCATAGGGAATTTGTAAATGATAGTGTTGCATCTTTTTCCACTCTTCTCTCCCAACCCCATTTCCTCTCATTTACAAAAGCTTTGTTTCTATTTACTTCCTACATTCTTTTTTGGTCTCTTCTTTCACACCCTCGTCCCTTGTTCTCCTCTTCTGAACCTTTTCTTCCCATTTCCCAATATCTATTATATATGTTGGTTCTTATTTACATTTTCGGTTTCTCACACCAGAGAATCCATGTGATATTTACACATAGCTGATTTATTTCTCTCAAGAATATGGTCTCAAGGAACATCTATTTACTTAGAAATGCCTCAAGTCTATCCTTCATTGTGACAGATGAGTCCTCCATTGTATAAAAAACTCAAATCTTCTTTATTCATCCGTTGAAGGGTATTTGAGCCAGTTCCAAGATATAGGTATTACAAACTGTGCTGCTGGAAACATGGGTGCACATATATTGCTGTGGTATGATTTTAATTCTTTCAGGAAGACAGGAAGAAGGGGTATAGCTGGGTCAAATGGAACCTCTAGTTTTAATTTTTTGAGGAATCTCCACACTGATTTCCATAGCAATTGCCTCAGTCCACACTCCCACAAGCAGTGGCTTGTGAAGAAGAGTTCCTTTTCCCTCAAGAGCCCCTCTAGCATTTTTTATTGGCTGATTTCTTTATAATAGTCATACTTTCTGGGATGAGATAGAATCTCAGCATTGCTTTAATTTGTGTGTTTTGAATGACCTTTGTTGGCCATTTCTGTAATTAATGAATTTCTGCATTTTTTTATATTTAGTATTTCTGTGTGATATCTTTCTATAGAGTATATGTCTTTGGCAAATGTGTCATTCATGCTTTGAACCTTAGTCAACTCTTCCATTTTTAATTTTGTTTCTCCCGTATCCAC